TATCGTAGGGTCGTTACACTTTTCCTGAATCGCGTGGTCTGTACAATCTGCTGACTGAGGCTGAGAGACCAGGTTCCAATAGCCTTTCTCTGCTAGGATATTGATCACGGCCAATTTCCATTCGCGGTATTCAGTGCCTCGGGAAAGGGGTCGAATCCCGGTTCCAGCCAATAGCTTATATTCGTTCATTCCGGCAGACATTCTTCGAAGTAGAAACGTCTTCGTCTTTTCGATATGTGGTGTCAGTATTGTAGAGCCCCGGGCTCATAACCTTTTGAGCAATAAAGGCGGTGGTGGGGCACAGCGGATCCAATCCTTGATGACCGAACGACGCAAGACTTTTATTGATACAAATGAATATAACGACTGAGAAGCTTTTAAAGAGAACAAAGTTCGAAAAGATAAAAGACTAAGAAACGAATGACTGAATAGAGATAGGAGATGACGCGGAGGATGGCTGAAGTATCTACTTAATAAAACCAAAAGAAATAAAGAGAAGAACCAGCTTCCTTATATGCTCCACAAAGTAGAACCTTCTTCTTTGACGTGTTTCCTCATTCCACAGAACCTTCCTACCAATCCATCTGCCACAAGATCCTACCGGTGCTTATCCGAGTTGCTTCCGAGGTGAGAGGTAAGTAACCGCGGGTATAACAAACCCTCGTACCGAGGATAAGAATGGGTAGAAGCCAAGGATCTTGCTCTTCGATAAAGGCAGACGTTGTTGCGTTTCATTTGGAGACAAGCTAGTGTTTGATGTGGTTGACCTGGATATGCGGGTTCGGTCTCAAGATGTGTTCGAGGCTAAGGTAGTGAAACCACAATAAACGCTTGTAGTGGTTGTCGTAGTTGTCGGTGAACAGTTTCGTACTATGTGGTGAGCAGCCAAAAACAGTCAATGTTCAACAGAAACCCTTCTAACTAGTGGTCATACTACACTATACAGTAGACAATATACCTATCAGTGCATTAAGCAAGCAGGAATGCCAGTTGTACGCGATCGCATGTTTAAGATTCTCAAAGATATTGATCCTGCTGGAGTTGCTAGTCGCCGTCTCCATCTTACTACCCAGCCCCGTGGAGCCTTCAGTGTCCCCGGGCCTAACTTTTTCTGGTCTATTGATGGTCATCATAAACTGAGTATGTATGGAATCGAGATATATGCAGGAATTGATACTTTTTCTAGGTACGTGATTCTAAGCTACTACTCCTCTGTTGCATGATTGGCCTAGTACAGTGAGAGCTATGTCCGATTAGGTATCAATCTATCTTGGCATTTCCACTAGCGTAATTAGTGTCCATTAGCCCCCCAACAGTGGGTAAATTCTCACCGACCGGTTACCCTCGCACTAAATGCAAACCAATTGACTTACAAATAGACTAATCTGCAATGGCCAATAGGTATATTCCGTGGATCTATGTTGGAATTTCTACCCATACCGGTATCTCCTGCCTTAGACAATACCTGCAAGTTGTAGCAAGTACGAGGTTATTACCACACTCAATTCGCTCGGATAGGGGTACCGAAACAATGATGATGGCAAGTGCTCACTGGCGCCTGCATCAAGCAATCTGTCCTAGCTGCCCATTCCATGATGTCTGGTGGTATGGTACTTCTACCCTCAACCAACGTATTGAGGCATGGTGGCGGCATATGAGCCGGAGCCAAACACTGGCCTGGAAGGTATGAATGACTGCATATTTCCCTATACAGTTAAATAGTTTGAATAGTCTCTAATTTAAAACTCTATTGCTAGCAATATTTCGATGACTTCGGGAGCAATGGGCTGTATACGGATTCAGAACCCTACCGCATAGTCTTACTTTATGTCTACTTTCCCCTTGTACGAGATGAAATTTACAACTTCGTTCACTTATGGAATAATCATAGGATTCGCTCCCAGAAAAAGCAGAGACCTAATTTACCTACAGGAAAGCCTTCAGTTCTCTACTTTACACCGCCTCCTGGTGTTGATGATTATGGAGTTTTGCCTGACCATGATACACTTAGAATGCTTCAGGAAGAAGTAAGCACTTGGGGTAAGTTACTCTGTTTCGTTTCATTACCTAAGACTATAATTACATCAGTAGTATATTCCAAGAATAAGATACCATCACTCTAACACTCCCGGTTTCCTGACACTTCATGTCTTTTCAGACGGATACTTACTCGCCTATCCTATAGATCCTGATGAGTATCTACTAGCTATAACTCGGGATTGGTGTATGAGGCGGCTCAACAGAATTGATTCAGGTTTGGATAAATTCAAACTACAAGATATCAGGCCGGATGGTACTCCTAAACATATTTACATCTACATTCAGCTTCGGTCAATACTCTATAAAGAGGTCTTCGATTGTGGTTTTCAACTACCACGCTGTCATCCTCCCGAAGGCAGATATAATTGGACACCCCCCATTGCAAACTATCTCACTACCGTTCCCACTCTATCTATTGTAGGCGAAGATGAGACCGATACTGTATATTTTTAAAATCTATTTTCATTTATGAAACGTGGACTGGCTTGGTTCTTTCTTCTCACCTGTTACTCACTTGAACTCGTGAACCTCTCTTGCTTAGTTTTTTCCGTATTCTACCAATATGCGCCTTTTTTCTTTCCTGTTTTCCTTTTCCTTCTAATTTTTCAACCTTGTCATGCTTTAGTGACTTTTTCAGTTATCAAATTTTAAGTTTTACGATTTCGTGTTGTGGCGGTTGCGGTCGCTATAAGCCGCCGTAGAAGGGGGATTGTTACTAGGGACTTTAGTTTTGTTAAAAAATTAATTATGGTTGTTGTCATGTTCGCTTACTTTTGCTAACGTACAATAGAACCTCAGTTATAGTACCCCATCAGCTCCAGCGGTAGATATTGTATCATGGTGAGGCGCGGAGGATACCTTTTTCCAATGACGCTGTTTTTGGAAAAATTCTGTAACGGTAGGTTCCATAAGAGATTTTCATATCTATTTTTGCTCTACTGCTATCCTCTCACCCAGTCAATAGCTTCCGCCGCTTTCCTGTGGCATTGGGGAGACATTGGGAACACTAAGAGAACACTGTGAACAGGAGTGTAGGGTACAGCGGGGTTTACTCTAATAAATTTGGTTGATTTCCCTTACATTTGGGATCTCATGGGGGTTGAGGGAATATATCTCCCCCTCTGGTAGGGAGGAAAAAAAATGAAAAAAAAGCCCACCAAGATATAAGAGACTAGCAATTCCAACTGTCATACCAGAACTGGGGGGCGCCGATATCCGCCATCGTGCCCCTAGTCCGAGCCCCAAAGGAAAGGAAGGTCCGGGGTGCCTGGGAGATGTGCTGTATACCGTGCCGAAGGAGGCTAGGCGAGGAGGGGGGTCGGCGACCTTCAAGGCATCTGCAATAGGTCCCCCTCCCTCCACAATATCAAGCCGTACTGGCGTCCACAGGTTTGTAGGCCTGTAGTGGCCCGGCTGTCTTGGGGTGCTGGCTTTCGGTGTTCGACGGTAGCGGTGTCCTGCCCATGTTGTTGGAAGTGTCGGGATTGATATTTTCACTGCCGAGAAGCAAGCGGACTACTTCCAAATGCTCCTCGTTCACACCGAACACGAGCGCCGCCCACCCCCCCCTGCCTCATCCCCCGGGGCCGACACCTTTCCCACCGAGCAGATTCCCCACTCCCCCTACACATCCACTGCGCACTGACCACATTAACGAAGTCCGCGAGAAGGTGTCAGAAATATCAGGCCTGACGTTCTCCCGCTCAAGCAGCAGCTGCACAACCCCCTCTTGCCCCATGCCCGCAGCGAACAGGAGTGGCGTGTCGCCGCAGATACCACTCCCGTTGAGATCGACACCCTCACGCTCCATCAGTATCCGCACTACCCCCTCCTGTCCCGTCAGGGCGGCCAGCATGATCGATGTCCGGCCATGCATGTCACACCCTGTGGGGGTGACGCCTTTCCCTTCCAGCAGTATCCTTACCGCCCCCTCGTGTCCATTGTGCGGAGCCCAGGCGAGCAAGGTCTATCCGCTTGCATCCCGTCTTCTGCGGTTGACACCTTCCGTTTTGGGAAGCCGCTCCACCTCCCGCTTATGTCCGTTGGCGGCAGCCCACCCCAGCGGCGTCCACTGGGCCTGATCCTGAGTGTCAGTGGCAACAGCCTTCCTCTCGAGCAGCACCGTCACGACTTCCTCATGCCCCTTCATCGCCCCCCCCTGCTAGTGGGGTTGGGCGCGCCGAGGATTTGACCGAGCGGGAAGTCCTGATAGTAGGTGGAGTTCCATTGTTCGCGGGGGTTTTCTGCATCCTGCGCCATCAGTAAGCCTTATGATGTATCGTAAATTTTATGATATCAGTCACCCAAACACAGCTTTTGTTGCACTTGACCAGATGCGGAGTTGGGTGAGGAAACTGAACCATAAGTAGACTAGTGCAAGGTCCGGGGGCACCTTCCCCTTGCGCCGCCTCACAAGAGCCTACACTCCACCCCTCCAGCCACCAATAAAAAACCTAAGATCCGTTCTCACGGCGGCACAAATCAGAGCCATAGATCGGAGTAGTTCCCGTGCAGAGCACTTCTCCTGGCACAACCCTCAAGAGATCTGATCAGGCGACATCGTCTAGGTGTCGCATAAGAATGGCGAACCATTTTCCTGGGTGCTGCTGAAATATTCGGCGGCGCGGCATTTGTTGGGAATCCCAGCATGCTACGAGGCATGCTCATCCGAGTCCCCGCCCCTCTTCCATTCCTTGCCTTTCCTTCCTTCCTTCCTTCCTTGTCTTCCGTAGTCCCTTGGTTTATTCGCTCAGGCGTGCGTGGCCGAAATTTTGGCTTCCGGGCGTGGATCGGAGGAATGGGAGTGGTACGGTGCGCTGGGAGGAAGCCCGAGGTCGTATGTAGAGCCGTGATAGACGGCTGGAGTGGACGGGGGAACGGGTGCCGGAACGGCAGTGGGAGGCTGTGTGGCAGGACAGAGGGCAATAAGGAAAGCAGGATTCTGGAGGGGCCCTAATTTTGTTAGTTTGTTGTTTGTGCTCAAGTGATGACTTACCTGGTGGGGGAGAGCGAGACTTTGACTGCTTTAACGTCGTTGACTGGGAAACCGCTCGGTAGCTAGATCCGGCTCGGCGCCAAGATGAGGTAAAACACTTACCCCGCACACAACAAAAACAACCGCCCCGGTCGCGTATATTATGGGATCCTCAAGAAATTCACACTGATGGCGCCAATCAACAAGCTGCAGAAGGACGAAAAAGAAGCTTTGCTTCCGGCGGCTGTTAAGTTCTACAATGAGAGCTCAGAAGTGTCAATCAAGGGTACGGCTGAGAAGTATGGTATTGCATATTCAACCTTGAGGGGTAGGCTGAAGGGGGCGGAATCTCGGGTAGGTGGGCATCAGAGATTGCAGGTTTTAACACCTTACAAGGAGAATTTGGTAGTTCGATGGTGTGAGCGTTTGGATGAGTGGGGACATCCAGCAAAGATGTCACTAGTCAAGGAGATGGCCCAGGCCATTGTATCGTGAAGGCTAAATCATCATGTATTGGGAAAGCATTGGATGTCAAGGTTTCTCAGCTGCCACCCCCAGCTTGCGGCCAAGTTAAGTACTCACATAGATCGCCAAAGGGCTCTTGCTAGTGATCCGTGAGTCATAACAGATTACTTCAACAACTTGAAGGTCAGACTATCTTCTATCCTGCTAGTAATAGGATATTAATCGAGAATCTAGTTACAACATTTAATGAAGTTTTATGATATTTTACCGTCCAATATCTACAATATGGATGAGAAAGGGTTCATGATGGGGGTAGCATTACGGTGTAAGGTCATTTGTAAAAAGGGGAGGAGGACAACAAATTTGGTACAGGATGGGTTACGGGAGTGGGTAACGGTTATTGAGTGTGTCTCTGGTGATGGCTCAGCTCTTCGCCCTATGATCATCAATAAAGGCCAAGCCCATTATATGGGCTCATATTCAAAGCTAAAAAAAAAGGATCTAGCAGTATTTGGGGTTTCAGAAAAGGGCTGGAGTAATGAGGGGTTAGGAATGAGGTGGTTAGAGGAGGTTTTTGACCATAAAACACGGGAGAGGTAACTATTTACTACTAAGAAAATTACATCATATTGAACTAACTACTCAAATCTGTATGAACTATATAGTGCTGGAAATAGATACCGTCTACTGATATTAGATGGGCATACATCACATTTCAATTGGCAATTTTTTGATTATTGCCATAATGTGAAGATTATTCCGTTCTGCCTTCCAGCTCACTCCACCCACCTGCTGCAGCCATTGGATGTGGGACTCTTCAGTCCCTTACAGAGACATTATGGGAATAGTCTGGATGAATTTGTGCAGAAGGGCCATGCGGGTATGAATAAGGGAGAATTTTTGCCGTTAGTATTTCCAATATATTTAATACTTCCAACTTCTACTCTTTCAGAAACTAATTACTTATTTTATAGGATCTTGATGCCGGCTAGACAATTAGGGTTCACCTCATGCAATATTCAGAGTGCTTGGGAAGCGGTAGGAATAATTCCTTTCAATCCCCGTCGGGTACTCGGAGCAGTGAAGCGAAAGGAGCCACCCAGCGGAAAGCTCCATCCTCCGGCAGTTGCTGGTAACCACCACTCCCATATTCCAAAAACCCCACGCGCCGTTAGTCGTGCAACACGAACTGCCTACTCCTTAGTAACTCGCGATACCCCCTCCTCCAAACAGCTTAAATCAATTCTTTCTAGCCTCACAGCAGGGTTTCAACAAACAATTGCTGATAAGGTACTGGAGGAGGAGGCCCATAAACAGTACAGAGCCTTGGTGGGAAAAGAAAAAAAGGGAAAGACTTCCGACCGCTGCAAGTTGACAGAGGCTACTGTGGTTACTTCGGAAACAATTCTGATGTTGCGTGAGCACCGGGAGCGG